CAGCAATATATGCTTGTGAAGTAGGAGATAACCACTTCTTCTGCTTGTTTCTCTTTCTGTTAATTGTTGGTGGCAATATTGATGAAAATATATGTTCCCTCTCCAGAAATGCTTGTTATTGGTTAAGGATAGACTTCTAATTTTCCACCAATTCTTCTGCATTCTGGTTACAACTTGCATAGCGCCACCAAAGATGATTAGAAATGGACTTAATCCAATGGGTCAAGTCATCGTTTCCCTTAATGTTAGACTTTGTTTGTTTTTTTTTTTGTGACAGATTTAGACAAATGCCACACATCATATTGGTGGTCAATATGAGGGTGTTTTTTTTTTCATAGAACTGGCAATTTTTGTCCCAAATGTGACTTAAAAAGGGAAATTATGTACAAATAACTAAGAAACTATAAGTTCATACTTTACGTCAAGGAAACTACACCTAAATTCTATGCACGAAAGCTAATTTTACAATGGTTTTATGTAGGATTATTTTCTAACCATAATGAATCTAAATTACGCAACAATGTTTTATTATTATTCAATGTTATTCATGGCAATAGACTGGTTTCACATCAGTAGAAACTGTTGTTAAGGTTGAATTCGGAGGACAAGCAAACGAAGCAAACGGCATTACAGCACAGTTTCCACACAAATAAACCTTCGTATTTTTTAAAAAATAATATTAATCGACATTCAAATTCTATATGTAGTGCGGAAACTGTGCGATAATGACCTTTATGGATGTGAAATCGTTCTATTAAAACAGAATACAAATAACCAGCTCAATACTTGCATGTAAGCTATAAAAGTTGTTTGTGTATATACCTATGAATAAAAAATTCTGACGAAACATTTTGTGATTAGGAGAAGCATTTTGACGCAAGTTTGTTATGGCTGTGCAATGACTTTACATAGAGCTTTGAGCAGCAATTGACCATATGACGTCAAATACAAGCCGCTGACATATTCCGCTCCCACGCACCGGATGCCCTAGCTGCAGCATTTCAAACTCATTTTTTGTGAAAACATTGAATCAAACAAACAAAAAAATTGCCGCATATTTATTTTCACGGGAAAGACAAAGTTTTAAGACCAACATTGTGTGAGGGTGGAGTTCCCCTTCAAACAAAACAAATCTTCACATGTCAAATTTTAATAGTCTATCCAACGTAAACGAGTTTTCTTTAGTGTAGAGATAGTTTAGGCGTTGTCGTTTTTCAGCCTCTGTGGTGGGCTGTTCCGTCTTCTTCATCGGGCGAAGTTTCGATTTGAGCTTCTTCCCATCTTACATCGTTCCGAACCAAATCACGAGGAATGTTTATTTTTGATAAAACGCGAAAGAATTCTCTAGAACCTGTAGGATTGAAATTCATTCTCCCTCTTACGGCGTCGCTAATGAGGTCTGATATATTTGATTGAGGGATAATAACACCGTCAAGTTTGACTTGTCCTGAATCATCCCAAGTTATTATATCCGGTGTTGTTTTAGGACGCTGCAGTATTGCTGTCGCGCGCTCACGCATCGTCTTCGGCACACTTTGTACAATGACGGAGTCAGCTAATGTACGCACTTAGTTGTTTATTACCGAGTTTCTTTCTTTCCCGTCGGTTGTATCCATCACGCGTACTGTGGGTATCTGAATATCTTTTTGTTTCTTCAAATTAAGAATTTGCTCAAAGTTTGCGTTGAAAATTTTTTGCCTTTGTTCGTCACTAAAACCGATTGAATCTTCTCGCAACCTTTTCCGATTCCGTTTTATTATTGCATTTTGCAACAAGATTTTTCTGTATACATTTTCCTTCAGAAACAAATTTATCAATTTTACCTTGCTCCCAGAGGCTCAACCTGCGTTCTAAGCATTGTATATGTTCTTTTGTTTTACTTTTTGCATGTGGTTTTTGTAACAATACACACTGCATGACTGAACAAGCCTTCAAAGCAACTCTTTCACAAGCTGATTTATTTGCATAAGCCGAATATAATCTTGCAAGTTCCGAAATGAATGCTTTCCCCACTTTTCCAGATGGTAAAAGGAAGATATTTCGCTTCCACTGAATGGTTTCTTCATATGCTTTGTTGATGCACTCAGTAAACTCTTCTCCAGTAAGATCCGCCCATTTAAACTTACTGGGCTTGTCAACATGCTCAGCCGACAAATCATAATTTGCATTATTTACTTCCCCATTTCTGTTAGTTTCTGAATCAGTATTGACGTTTTCATGATGAATTCTCTCTTGAACATCGATTGTAGTTGTTTCGTTAACTTCAGTACGATCGCTGAATCTAATTTAACCATTTTCCTGTCGAGCTTTTATTATTTGAGCGGCTTTATCTCGAAGATTTTGTGCTGTTAAACCCAAGGATTTATATCCCATTTCTTCCCATAAAATTCTCATTATTTCCATATAACCCGGTCCTTGCTTTCGGTTTTTCTGACAATTTCGTTTTTCTATGGCTCTTTCTCGACATGATAAGAGGTCTTTTACCATTGCATTTGTCCATTTTACTCTTTTTGATGATACATTCTTTAAACTTTTGGATGACATTTTGCAATCGCGAGCTCTACCTCCTTCGACGACGCCATCTTGACTATATATGCCATCTGGACATTAAAAAATTGAAAGAATACCTTCTACATGTCAATGGTGCCTAACTCATATTGATATACTTGTGCAATTTACAAAACTTTATAGCTTATTTTAAACTGTGATGCAATCTTTCTTATTTAGAGTGAATTACATATTGAATACTTTTCTCTTTTAATTGACAGGAAAAATCAAAATTATTGGCAGACTGAATTAAATTTCTTTTAAATTGGTCATATTACACATAATTTGAACATATCTTTCAAAAACATACACAAGCTCCAACATCATGAATATTTTCTTTTCATCAAATTTTTGATATTAGCTAAAACCCAAGCTAGCACTATGAAATGTACGAAAAAGATGTTTGCAAATCAATGCAGGAATATGAAGCATTAATGTTGATTGCTTAACTAGTCAAATTGATAAGTATATCATGCATAAAAAAGCATTCTTTTAAATTAGAGGAAATCTATGAGGGTAAATGTTGTAATAGATGAATGTAAGTAGGAATTGTTTCAAAATCTGAAGAGCACAAATAAAACACTGAAAGTATTTTATGCTTTTACACTGAGAGTGTTAAACGTCCAAGTGAAGTACCATTTGAATTTCCTTTATATTGGTCAGTAGTATAGTACATGGGGGTTCTAGATCACAAAAAGTTTACTTTTTGTTATCTATAACTCCCCATGTACTATACTACTTATAACCTTGGGTAAAAACTATCTTTATAACAGCTTAAAATAAGACCATGGTTCAAAAGGCGTCCCTCAGTAAAAGACCATGTAAAAAAGTCATTGTTTCAAAGGGGTAAAAATCTCGAGTTTAAAAATATGGAATCTATATGTTTTGAAATATATAGGTGTTTAAATTTTAAAAAGTCTTTACAAACAAATGTTAAGAAAGCATTGGTCGGGGGGGATCGGCAGCGCAGATTTTAGCGTAGCTAAATTGAGCAGGGAATGGATCCCTGAGAATTCTGGAACCTTAGGTGGGGAAATTTTTTCACGAAGTGAAAAAATCAGTTCCCTGATTCGAAGAATATTCGAAGAATATTCGAGAATAACAGAGGCTTAAAAAATGCTCTTCAAAAAACCGTCTTTAATAATCAAGTGTTAATAATCAAGTGTTAACAAGGCCCTGCCAGGCACCTGTTGATTTAGCGAAGCTAAATCGCGACAGTGGGTAAAATCAAGTGTTAATAAAGCATCGGTTTTGAGGGGGCTCGGCAGCGCAGATCACGAAGTGATCGAGCAGGATGGAGCCCTGATAATTCTAGGCGATTTGTGGGGAAATTTTTCACGAAGTGAAAATTGGGAGTCGCCTCCCGTGGCATTCGAAGAATATCTGAATATTCGAGAATAACAGAGGCTTAAAAAATGCCTTCAAAATCAATTGTTGACTTGGGCCTGCCAGGCGCCTGTTGATTTAGCGAAGCTAAATCGCGACAGTGGGTAAAATCAAGTGTTAATAAAGCATCTGTTTAAATCGTTGTTAGGGGCGAAGAATTTCAGGCAACTAAGCCTGAAATTTTGAGCGCAACAATGTCATAGATGCTCTTTACAAAACTATGGAATCTATATGTTTTTAATTTGTCTGTCAGGCGCGTCTTAGTGCATGTTTTTCAACAATGGTTGTTTAATGTAATAGCACATTTTCCAGCGCATGTATAATAATACAATGTTGTATAAAATATGGAATCTATATGTTTTTTTTAATTTGTCTGTCAAGCGAGTGTCATATAATTTTTGTTAAAAGTGTTTTTAATAATTGTTTCAGGATTTTGAATTATTTTGTATATCGCTTTTGTATTAATTACTTATTACAAACAGTTATGTGATATGTAGTCAAACATGAGGATTATTCTTCATCTTAAGTTTTAGCTTGATAGTTATCTTTAATAAATTTTTTTAATTTTTCGATTTCATCATTTACAAATTTTTTAGTTGCTAGAATATTATCTTCAATACTAGCTCCGAAACTTGGAGAATAACCATTATATATCATAGATAATGTAGATTGATGATGTGAATAAACTTGCATTTTAGTTAATCCACTAAATGTTTTCAACCATTTTCTTGCCCATTCATTCCATCCTAGTGAAGCAGCAGTTTTTTTTGGTTCAATAATAACAGTAATATTGTTTATATTATCATCAACACAGTATACATAATATAAATCTAGAGTTACATTAGCTATCTTTTTTTCATTATCATTTGTTATTTTAATGATAAATTTTTTGTTAATCTTATCTACCATAATATCTAATTTAACTGTTTTAGAGTTATCAGATGGATTTATTAATAAAAGTGTAAATTCAACAAATTTAATATTATTAAAAACAATTCTGATAATATTTTGTTGGCTATTAACATTTGTGTTATAATTTAATTGGTTACTTTGATATACTCTTTTACTATTTACTATATCATCTATTTCATTCTTTGTATAATAGTTATTTGCTAAATTAAAATTTAAAGCATATCTATTATCAGATTGGGTTCGAGTAAAAAATTTATTTAAATTAGAAGTTAAAGCATACTTATTATCACTTTGCAATTTGGTATAATATTTATTAGCTAGTCTTGAAACAAGAACATATTTATTATCACTTTGCAATTTGGTATAATATTTTAGTAAATTAGAAGTCAAAGCAAATTTATTATTAACTTGAGTTTTACTATAGTGGTCATTAAATTTATTATCAATTTTGAGTTCTTTTTATATATTTATCTGATATTTTATCTACAGATCCTTGTATATTTACATTAATATCTGTTTTATCATAACCATAAAATAAGCTCATTTATATTATTCCTCAGATTTTATATCCGGTTTATTATTTTTATATTCATAAACATGTTTAATAGTTGTCACACTACCAGATAAAAAACCTAAAAAAGGTAATAGTGGGGATACTTTTTCAACTAAACTGTACACATCTCGTTTTAAAAGGTCGTCTGATTTAAGCTGTTTTGTTAATTCTTTGGGATCTTCAATAGCATCAAACCCTTTTAATACATCTGAAAATTTTGATATAACTAAATCAGTTAAAACTCATTGGTTTTTGTAATCGTTTTTCTCGTATTCAGTGTACAATTTATCAATAATTTTTGACTAGCTTTTTAATGTAAGCAACTGACTTGTCTAAATCACCATCTTCAGCTAGTTTAAGTAGTTGATCTCTTTTATTAAAACTTTCTTGCGGTTTATCTTGTATATTTCATCACATACAGCATCTTTGATAATATCATTTGTGGAATCAATCTCATTAATTATATCATCAATTGTTTCAGGCTCTTTACGCTTTGGCATATATATAACACATGTTTTATTGCGGAATAACAATTTTCCATTGGTATGGGTATACAAGTTGAATTTCTAAATGTGCATACTTATTATTTTTCAATTTTTGGTTATTTCTTCTATATCATCTTTCTCAAACCATAAAGATAATCATCAAATATGGTTTTCATATCATTGCGGTTTGGATTATAAAATGTAACTAAATAACTTATATTTTCACGATAAGGTTTAGAATACTTGTCAATTGCTGTGTAATAACAATTGTAGAAAGCCCATAATGACGAGCACTAAATCCTAATTTTATTAATTCTGATGTCCTATTTTTAACATCTAAACAACTTGCACAATCATCAAGTATAATAAGACTATTTGTCCCTTTATATACATAACTAACATATTTTAAAACAATATCTATCTGATCTTGGTCACATTCTACTTTAATTAAATCATTATCATTTATATATTTCCATTCTTGATAAGTTTTATTATATGATAGCGTTGGACATAATAAAATGATATAATCAAAATGTTATTAAAGTTTTTTCTAACATTTGAGAAAATGACTTTTACCACAATTTGTCATTCCTACAAAATCATATTAAAGGGTGTATTCATTTATATATTACTGGTTATTCTAGTATTGAATACTTTGTAAATCATTATTAATAAATTGAACAAGAGCATCACTAAAACATAGATGTAACAGTTTAAATCTTTTGTATATGCTCTTTTTAATTCTAAGAATGCATTTGAGTATTAACGATCCGTTTTCCGTTACCAGCAATATTTTTCTTGAAAGGTGCGTAGATCGATAACTAATGCAAATTTATCTTTATAAAATTTTTCAATTGTCAAAGCAACATTGGAATAGTTCTATCAAAACTTTCTTGCTTCTTCATAAAAGAGTGTTTTATTCATGCCTTGGGCAAAAACTTTATTGTACACTCAAATAATTTTACTTCTACCGATTAATAAATTTCCACCAATTGAATCCTTGAATAGTAGCAATACGATACTTTCATACTTTTACGGGAACATTGATGTTAACATTCTGTAATGTACTCTGACTTATCCCATTTTTCCTTTTTTAGTAGGGTTATATGTTGATAAAATAGACTTTCTTCCTTGAGAATATAAATTCTGTTACCCTCATCAGCAATTTCTTGATTTTCAATTTAGCTCTACATTCTAGCTGAATATTTTCTAATTCATAATCACCTAGATTGACCGCTTTGAGGGATAAGGACTGATCACTTGATGGTAAAGTATTATGTATTGAAAGTTATTATTCATATTGAAAGGACAATAAAGACCATGATCTTTAAGAATATTAATCAATATTAATTTTCTGCCTTGTACCATAAATATCATACATTAATTTGTCTGATACTTTTCTGAACTCCAATTGTTGCAGCACTATCATCCTTGGAAATAAGTTTCTCGTAAATTATCATACCATATCAATAAGGCCTTGTCGATCATTTTTTAGGCATCCACAAGTCTTTGTATATACTTATAACATTATGTTACTTATAATCGTATAAGTGTCTCACCTGTGCCACTTTAATGTAGAATTATTTTGTAAAATCTGGCTGAGATTATTTAGAAAGTGACTTTTTGTATTACTGATTTTAAGATCAAACGATAGATTAACTGAACCAGGCACTAAGCAACTATTTACTTTTAATTTTGGAATATTAATATAAACTTGTTCATTTGGTTTTAGACTATTAGGATTAAAGGTTATACTATAAAAAGTAATGGTTACTTCAATTTTGTCCATAGCAGTCCTTTTATAACCAGGTAAAAGCTCTAATTTGTACACCCATTCATATATTAAAACATATTTTATTTTTTCTTTGTTTATACTGATCATATATTAGCAAAGCAGCAGCAATAGCCAAAAACCAAAGATTAGAAGCTACCCATGCTAAACCTTTAGCTCCCAAGATATAGCCTGAGAGATAATATTCAGCAATGGTCCTAAAACTATGGCAATTTTTTTACTCTAGACTTTGCTAAAAGCCTTAGGAAATTTACTAGTAGCTTGAGCCTTGTAGGATTGCTTTCTTTCTTGCTCCAATGACAATGGTTGTAATTATACCAGCCACAGATATAGCTAAAGCTGATAATCCTGGGATATTTTCTTTAACCCATTCTTTAAAATGTTGTAATCTAGTAATGTCTTCCTTGTTCTCTCTACATCCTCTTCTAATTGTTCTTGTTCTTCTCTAATTATAGCCTTCTAATTCCTCGGCTCTTTCTTGCAAATTAGCTTAATTCATCAATATTGTTGTCAATACCATTTTCTATTTTCATTTTCTATTTCATCTATTCTGACTTGAGTTTTGTTTAGCTCTTCAGCAAAGTGATTTATTTGTGCTTCTTATGAAT